ACCCCAGCTCAAAAAAAAAAAAAAAAAATAGGAATTATTTTTAAAATAAGAAAATGACATGAAATACCAGAATACCTACCACTCAGTTTTGTTTTTTGTTTTTTTTTTTGAGTTGGAGTCTCGCTCTTGATGCCCAGGCTGGAATGCCATGGCATGCTCACAGCCACCGCAGCCTTGACCTGCTGGGCTTAGGCGATCCTTCTGCCTCAGCCTTCCAAGTAGTTGGAACTACAGACGCACACAACCACACCCGGCTTATTTCTTGATTTATTGTAGGGACGAGTCCTCACCAAGTTTCCCAGGCTGGTCTTGAATCCCTGGGCTCGGGCAATCCTCTCACCTCAGCCTCCCAAAGTCCTGGGATTACAGGCTGAGCCACCATGCCCAGCCCCCACCACTCAATTTAACAGACTTTACCACATTTGGGCTCATATTTAGGTTTTGATTTTATTATATTATATATATTTATTTTTTTGAGTTGGAGTCTCACTCTGTCACCCAGACTGAAGTGCAGTGGCCACTCCCGGCCTTGACCTGCTGGGTGGGATCTGGTGATCCTTCCGCCTCAGCCTTCCAAGTAGCTGGAACTACAGGTGCGCGCTACCACGCCCGGGTAATTTTTGATTTATTGTAGAAATGAGGTCTCACTAAGTTACCCAGGCAGGTCTCGAACCCGCAGGCTCAGGCAATCCACTCACTTCAGCCTCCCAAAGTGCTGGGATTACAGGCTGAGCCACCGAGCCCAGCTTATTATATTATTATTATTTTTTGAGTTGGAGTCTCACTCTGTCACCCAGACTGGAGTGCAGTGGCACATTCACGGCAACCACTGCCTCGACCTGCTGGGCAGGTGATCCTTCTGACTCACCCTTCCAGGGAGCTTGAACCACAGGTGTGCACCACTGCGCCCAGCTAATTTTTTGATTTCTTGTAGAGATGAGGTCTCACCATGTTGCTCAGGCTGGTCTTAAACCCTTGAGTTCAGGCAGTCCTCCCATCTTCGCCTCACAAAGTGCTGGGATTACAGGCATGAGCCACAACACCCGGCCTAAGGTTTTTATTTTAATTTTTACTTTTGCTAAAGTAATGCATGCACTTGACTTAAAAGCCAAATGGTACCTCAAGGTTTGCAGCAAAAATAGCAGTTTCCTGCTGTACACCTTCCTACTTTCTCAATCCTGCTTCCCAAAGGCATTCATCTTTCATGTCTTTAACTGATTCTTCATGTCTTTAACTTACCTCCCTATTCTCAATCATATGATTTGACTGTTATTTCTTGATTTTTTCAATTTTATACTTTATTTTTGCCATTATAGAAAATGAGGATTTTTTTTTTACTTTCTTATGCTACACCATCAATGCTCACACATGTGCTCTTTCCCCCTCCTACCTCATTCCCCCATACTCCACGTATAGTTATTTCATAATTTTTAATTATTACAGCATTTTCTTCATTGGTGAGATATAGTCTTATGAAAATTCCTTTCCTGTCCAACTTTATTTTTTCTGGAGGTAACAGTTGTCTAATTTATTTTTCTTTTCTTAGGTCTTTAATTCCTCCTCAAACTCACCAGTAGATCTGTAAAACTCTGACCATTTTAGACTAATATGTTGGTTTTTTTCTGTGTCTGACCATTTTAGACTAATATGTTGGTTATTTTCTTGGAGACATTCTTCCTGGAACTCCTTTCCTGTTGCTTTCTGGACTCGTTTTCTAGACTTGCTGCACAGCTGTGCTTGTCAAGCTTCCTTTCATTATTACCCTGAGAATTCCCTTTGCCTCTCCCCTTTGCTAATATTTAGTGTTCTGGATCTTGTATCTTTTTCTTTCTTAGTTCACATTTTCATTTAGGTGAATTATATCTTTTAGTACCTTCCTAACAAAGGTTGTGAAGGGAGGTCAATTTTTGAGAACTTGGACTTCTGAAAATTCAGCCCTCCCATTGATTGTTTCAGAGTGGAAAAAATTTTTCTTCCAAATTTTTAAGTCATAGCTTTATTCTTTTTTTTTGGGGGGGGGGGGTTGGAGTCTCACTCCGTCGCCCAGGCTGGAGTACAGTGGCACACTCGGGGTCACCCCAGCGTCAACCTCCTAGGCTCTGGCGATCCTTCCACCTCAGCCTTCCAAGTAGCCAGAACTACAGGTGCACACTACCACGCCTGGCTAGTTTTTTTTTTGTTGTTATTTATTGCAGAGATGAGGTCTCACCAAGGTGCCCGGGCTGGTCTCGAACCCATGGGCTCAGCCAATCCACTCACCTCAGCCTCCCAAAGTGCTGGGATTACAGTCTGAGCTGCCAAGCCCGACCAGGTTTATTCTTTTTTTTTTTTTTTTTTTTTGAGTTGTAGTCTCACTCTGTCGCCCAGACTGGAGTGCAGTGGCCGCTCCCGGCCACCGCAGCTCAACCTGCTGGGCTTCAGCGATCCTTCCACCTCAGCCTTCCAAGTAGCCGGAATTACAGGCATGCACTACCACGCCTAGCTAGGTTTATTCTTTATTTCCAATGTTGCATTAAAATGTCCAGTGATATCCAGATTCCCTGTTCTTTGGATGTGACCTTTCTATTTCTCTGATAGTGTTTAAGGTCTTCATTTTTTTCCAGTATTTTTAAATGTCATGCTGATTTGTCTTTGTATCTGTTTTCCATTTATTATTGTGGCAGTTGGTGGGCCTTTTCTATCTAGAATTTAATGAGCTTCAATTCCAGGAAAGGTTCTTTTATTATTTCTGTAATAATGTCTTTGTACTCATTTTTTTTTTTTTGAGTTGGAGTCTCACTCAGTTGCCCAGGCTAGAGTACAGCCACTGCAGCCTCAACCTGCTGGGCTCACGCAGTCCTTCTGCCTCAGCCTTCTAAGTAGCTGAAACTACAGGCATGTACCACCACACCTGGCTAATTTTTTTGACTTAATGTAGAGACAAGCTCTTGGTCAGGTTGCCCTGACTGGTGTCGAACCCCTGGGCTCAGGCAGTCCTCTCACCTCAGCTTCCCAAAGTGCTGGGATTACAGGCTTGAGCCACCATGCCTGGCCTGTACTCATTTTTTTAGTTTGTTCTTTCTGGAATTCTTGTTAGTTGGTTGTTGAACCTCCTGGTTTGACCTTTTCTGTCTCTCTCTCTCTCTCTGTCTCTCTCTCTCTCTCTCTCTCTCTCTCTCTCTCTCTCTCTCTCTCTCTCCTGTTTTCTTGGTTTTTTAATTTAGTTTTGCGGAATAATTTTTCAGATTGATCTTCTAACATTTCTACTGAATTTTTAATTTCCCCCAATGTTCTTTTTTTATAGCATCCTATTCTTGTTTTATGGTTATATTATTAAATCTTATTTTCTCAG